AACACTCAGATCTCTCTGTGCATCAATTCTCCCCAGGGCTTTTCCATTTACTGTATAGGTCGTATTCTCTAGGGTTTTAAAGAACAGAGGTGATTTAAGGGGATAAACAGGGTAGATGTATTTAACATGTGTCCTTTGGTTGGTGAACCTAGAACAAAGGGGTATCATTTTAAAAAAGTGGTGGAGGCTACTAGGATCAGAGAAGAGGGAAAAATTTTTTGACTGAGCTGATTGTGAACCTTTGGAATTCTCCACCACAGATGGCCATGGAAGCTCAACCTTTGACTATGCTTAAGGTAGAGACTGATAAATTTTGGATTGCCATTGGCATACAGGCATATGGGATGGAATGGTTAAAAGCCATTGAAGGGTTCAACTCAGCCACGATTGTACTGAATAGTGGGGCAAGCTCAATGAGCTGAATGGCCTACTCTTATATCCTTTCTTTCTATTTGTTCGTCAAATGTCAGCCAAGAATGATTTCAAGCAATAATCTAACAAACCTACCACTATTCACCATCAACATCATCCTGGGGTCACCACCAACCAGATATTTATTTGGGATAACCACATAGACACAAGAGTTGGTCAGAGCTGGACTCTCCACATGATTCCAGTGGCTGCCATCCAGCTAAAAGGAACTAGTCTGATGAAATACACCTTGCCTGGAAGGCAGCAACTCCATCAACAGTCTAGAAGGTCAACATCATTCTAGAAAAAAAACAAAGCAGTCTGCTTGACTGGCTTCCCAACTTCACACTGTCTGCAGTTCTGTATTATCTATAAACACACTGCAGCGACTTGCTGAAGATCCTTCAACCTTTAATACCTGGAGAAGCAGGCAGCAAGTACAGGAAAACACCATCACAGAGACTCATCCAAGAGCCAACTTTAATTATTTCCCCTTTTCATCACTTGTAGGGAGGGGAACATTTCATCCTGTATCTTCAGTCCCAAATGGTTGATCTTCTTTCACCTTTATAGAAAAGAAGTGCTGCCCAAAATTGGCTTGTTGACTCAAAAGCTTACCACATCAGGAGATGCAGTACAGAGGGAGGACATTGTGCATGACCTAATATGCATGTAAGTTCAGATAAAGGCAAGGTTGAATTTGGCAACTGTTCAGGTTTGCAGACAGTGGCCACTTCGTTGCAATACTAGAAAACTGCTGGCACTCCTGTGACCATACTCCAATAAAAATTGCCATGTCGTGGAGGAAAGGTAGAGAGAAAGTGCTCCTGGCTAGGTCTCTATTTCTTTTCAAACTACAAACCAAATGCTGCCTTCTCTTCTCCTCATACCTAAATAACTAAGCCAGAGATACAATGTCATTGTATTGTATTTGATTTACTTTCTGGATATGGGAAGGAGGGAATGTTTGTGCTAAAGTGAGTAATCAAAAGCAGCAAACAAAATCTTGGGCTGCACAAAGTCCTAAGAAAGAGCTAAATCATTCCCAGGAAGACTTCACCTTCATCAGTCTTCAGATTTCCAAAAATCCAAGCTCAACATTATTCCCACGACGTTTCTCATTTACCCTGTTTTCTCTCCTACTTTTCGCCAGTTTTGATGGAATCTTGCTTCTAGTCCTTGTTTCATCACCTCAAGTTTCCCCAAATTAAAATGTCTAACTTGTCACTCTCAAGTATTTTGTCTAAATGACAGACAAGATGTTTAAAAATGGGTTTACAATTCAACAGGCTTTAACAATTATTAATCCCACTTCATATTTTAAGAAATGCATGTGCGTACATATAAATACCGCAATTCTGGCCTTACCCATGTACATGAAATCAGAATAAATTTATAATGAAGGATTTAGTAAACGTCTACTACAAAAGGTCAATCTTGATTAAGGTGATCTCAGAAGTATATTTTTTTCAAAGTTAGGTTACCTAGCTCCTATTGCTGTAAATGTCGTGGGTGATAATCAATCAGCACAATATATTTAAAATGGTAGGATTAATCAGTGCTTGCTGATTACTGTTACTGTACACTACCTCGTACTTGCTGTTCAAGGCAGAGAATGACCTGGACGGCCTGCTGCAGGATGATCAGTTTGGTTTGAGCCTTATCAGTTTTTAAGTGCATCTGACACATGCGACCCAACTCTTTGAAAGCCTCATTAATGTCTCTGACGCGAATTCGCTCCCTCATATTATTTGCCAATCGCCTTTCACGGTCCTTCATTTCTTTTTCTTCGCCTGTAAAGCCTTCATCATGACTGCAGGATTCAGTGCCAACAGGGTTAGTTAGGGATGGCAATTTTGCAGAAGCTGTAATCCTTTTGTAGGCACATAAAAATATGAATACTATCAAACTTTTATAAGATACACCTTTACAAAGCTTCAAATTTAAAGTTTCATAAAGGTGGTAAAATTTATTTTAACAAATCAATTTGTATTTCTGAATTTGCTAATATTGATGGAGTGAGATGCCAAAATACTGCACACAAATTTTGTCAATAGATGTAATCAAGGAAGCCCACAAAAGGATACGCTGACCTTTTATCTTTGAACCAACAAACTGTCACACCCAGAGCAAACAGCTAGAAGAGATAGGTACAGGAGACTATATAACCCTTAGGAAATGCTATTTATGCCTCACAGCCCTAACTATATTTACAAATTTATAACAGCTTAAATTTATTTCCACAAATATTTATAGATTTTCTTGAAGGGGTTGGAAGCCAATTCAGGATGAATGACTTATTGTAAAGTGAAAATAAGTAGCATTCATTAGGTTTAAATTCTCCTAAGTAAAGGCAATTAACTTACAGAAGAATCTTCATTTGTAAAAGCTGCTCTCAATTATATTCAATTGCTGGCATGTCCGATTATTGTCAAATTTAGCTTTCTTCTTATTACGGGTCCTTCATATTAGATTCTCGGCAGCCAAATTTACTCCTTCCATTGCAATAGCTAAAACAAATCAGCACCCTTGAAAGTCCAAAGATTCCAATAGCTCACTATAAAGAATTAAATCCTGGAAGCATTTCTATAGACTATTGGCAATTCACAGGTGCGCCAGTCTACTTATTTTTTGAATTCATCTTTGGACATGAAACTCAACCACTTAGTGTTGCTCGATTTTCTTTCAACACTGCTTTTGTTCTCCAGGCATTCATGTTCCCATTTGTCACTTTTGTTCTCATCTTCCCCTTGGTATCATGTCGAGACAATATGCCACAATCATGTAAATTTGTATTAACCACTATTAATTTGTCATAGCAATCTGTTATTTACCTTGTGTGCAAAGTGAGGCCAACTAGGAATTATTTCTTACCCTCGACGTTCAGGGTAATTTCAGGAAACTAGAAGTACATTTTTGCAATTTAGACTGGGATTGAATAGGTCAAAACTCCAGTAAATTTGTCAGTTGTAGAAGCCTACTAATTTAAAAAGAGCCAGACCCTCAGGTAAATCAGAATTTGGATCTATTACAGCATCAACAACAGAATCAGAGTTGCCAGACATGTCAGATTGAATTCTTTACATTTTACGTCAGTTCCCTGCTTTGAACACTGCCAAACAGCAAGTACGAGGTCAGAATGGAACCAGTGAGTGAGTGACAATGACTTGGAACCATCCAAGGCAAGAACAAGAGAGCAGAAAACATGGGTTATGGAAATTAGAAAAGAGCATGACTAACAGCAAAGACTGGCTGTATGGAAACACTCCCGAATCCAAGTTTGTACAGCAAGCTGCAAAGGAAATATTAAGCGGCATAAATATGCCAGGATATTCATACATGGCATGCATTTAATTGGGGAGGAGGGGAGTTAGAGAATGGGATAAGAAGAACACAGAAGCAAGGTGTACAGGGCTAGATGAGTAGAAAATATTCTCAAGCAGGATATTTCTATAAAAACGGTGCAACGGAAACATAATATATTTTTGCTTCATCACTATGTAATGTTGAGAGAAGCCAGGACATCAGGTTAGCCTAGAGGCAACCTCTGAAAGCTGAATCTAACTCAATTTAAATGGACTACAAGCTATCATGCAGTCATTCCTTCCCCGACTTTACTCTTGGAATTTTACCGGTTTTTGTACATGTTTGAGGTGATGGAAGTTGTGACAATTTAGCTAGAAGTGTAATTAACAGTTACTGCTCTTCAAAATTAGGCTCTCACCATAAGCACAGGCTAAACTGAATGCAATCAATTGCAATGTGGAAGGCAAAATTTGCCACATTTCTTTAAAAAAGCAGAGGTGGAGAGAAGACAAGGTTTGTGTTCAAGATTGTTCACAACTTGCAGTAAAGCTCTATTTTTCAGGAGCATACGTTCATACTGCACAGCTGGAATAAATGTCCAATATATGACCATGGACTCAGCAAACGCATGAAGGACAACACAGAGCGTCTTCCATTAATGCTCTATTTTTTTCCCCTTCTTGTTTGAAATTACTCTTAATAGTGTCATCACGTCTCTAGTAGCTTGCTCAAACACCTATTTTATTGAGCAAGGCTGTTGAGCATGTTGCACCACACACAAGCCCAATTCTGTCCTTGCAAAATTTCCAGATACATGCACATGTCGATCAACATTCATAAACGCGCAGCCTTCTGTCGGTACATGACACAGAGATGAGTTTATCAGGCATGACTCTTAAAAAATGAGCTTTGAGTTCAATCAATCAGTCTGGAACAAATTTTTCTGTAGTCATAGCTTTTCAAATTGTTTGGAATGTTTGGAACAGACATGCCTGCACATACAGTTTCGTTAACTGTATTTAAAAAGGAGGCCTCTAGTTCATGCCATCTTTACCACTTCAATGGGCAAGAGAACAAGTGCAAAATTGAATCATAATTTTGTACTGCATTTAAATTTGTTGTGGAATAAACTGCTAGGATAAATGATATGCATTGCATGCAAGTGAAAGTTGTGTAAAACAGGATCAGGATCTTCAGGACAAATGGGGAAAATAAGCCTTTGGCATGTTGTATTTCAAGTAGAGATAGCTCCATGCCAGTTGACATCACTATGACCAACTGACCTCTGACTTGTTGTTCCAAGTTGAGAATGACTGATACAGCCTGGTGGAGAATAAGCAGTTTTGTCTGTGGCTTGTCACTGTTAAGGTGGAGTTGACACATGCGTCCAAGTTCCTTGAAGGCCTCATTGATGTCACGCACACGAAGGCGTTCACGAGCATTATTAGCTACTCTCCTTTCCCGCTCTCTCTCTGCCTTTTGCTCTGGGGCAAGGTGTTCATCATCATCTTGACTACTGACCAAAATATAATAAAAACATCCCTCAAGTACAAGATATCAAGTGCAAATCGTAGCGGCAATCATATGCTGAATTCAAATATTTGAACTGAATAATACCTTCAACTAATAATCACTTTAACATACCAAGATATTAGGAGGATACAATGTTCATACATTATTTTGACGGCTGCAACTCGATCAGCAATAGTTCACAATGTATAGCCCAATTTATCACGCAAGTATGTAAAATAAAAGCAAGTTACTTTTTGAACAAAAAATATTACAACTCCATGCATTATATAGTTTGTGGATTTGAATCTTAAATTATTATTATTTGTGCACAAGCCTGTATTTCACTTGCAAATAATAGGCAAAATTGTGGAATATTTGATACATCTGCAAGACATCTCACCTTAACTTAATGCCTGTTCATCACATGATTGGGTTTAGAACTCTAGTTAAGAAATAGTACACTTAAAATGGAACTTCAAGAACATACAAGTAATTTTATTTAAAAAAAGGTTTTTGTTAAAAAGCCAAGTATTACATTCTACTTTTTGGCGATTGAGAATATGATTTCTAACTGTTCTTATTTCAATTTCAACTCTAATGATAGAAGAATTTGTAACTCCAAATACCTACATCCTAAAGATTTCTAAATGTTATCAAACTATAACTTAAAAAGGGCAACTCTTCGGAAGAGTCAACAAGGCGCTAGGAACTGAACAATCTTATTCTGTGCTGTACTGTTCAATGATTGCTCAGGGAGATCAAACGTACAGGGTACTATCTGCCATCCCAAATAAAGCAGACAAACCTGGAAGATTGAAAAGCAGCAGACCATATACGATATTAATCATCCTGTCCATGTCAAAATGGGACTGAAGCAATACAGTGCAAGATTGAGCTCACAAACCCAAACTACAGGACAGAAAAATTATGTTGATTTTACCAAGCTGGGATCAGACTTGAAGGTCACATCTCACACACTTCAACAGGAAGCATTCCTGTGTTGTGTCTCGATAATTTGCTATGTTCCTTTAAGAGCAGGCTTCAAATTGAAGACTGGAAAAGCATGATGGTTGATTGGCCCTATAACTGAGTAAACTGCTGGCACTCTTGCAAAAAGCCAGTTCGACTACCAGATTTGTTTTTTGTTTAATTCACTTGTTCAATGTGGACTTCGCTGGCTGGGCCAGCATTTATTGTCCATCACTAGTTGCCCTTAAAATGATGGAGATCTACCTATTTGAATTTCTGCAGGTAAATCCACAATGCTATTAAAAGCAGGGAATTCCAGGATTCTATCCTAACAAAACTGAAAGAATGGTAATAAATTTTCAAGTCAGTATGACGAGTGGCTTGTAGGGGAACCTGCAGGTGGTGGTGTTCCCATGCATCTGCTGCCCCTGTCCTTCTAGATGGCTGTAGATTTGGAAGGTGCTGTCCAAGGATCTTTGGAAAATTGCTGAGGTTTCTGATTAGTGGTGATGATCTCCACATATTGATAGTGGGGGATCCAGTAATGATAATGCCATCAACAGTCATGGGGTGATGATTAGACTCTTGCTGGATAAGGTGCAGCATGAATATTACTTGCCACTTTTCAGCCCAAGTCTGGATATTGTCCAGGTTTTGCTGCATTTGGGCACAGATTGCTTCAGCATCTGAGTTGTCGTGAATGGTGTGGAACATTCTACAATCATCAGTAAACGTCCCTGATTCTGACTTTGCCTCTGCTAAAGTATGGGTGGCGATATAAGGTTAAAAATGATGAAATTCTAATGAAACCAATGTAATATCGGCACTTTGTTGAGATCTCAATGGCAGGAGGGTGATTTGTCCAAATCCCAATGGCTTTAAATTTGTACTTGAAATACCAAGGTTAGCCAGGTGTTTGAAGTTTAAGATAGTAATTGTGGCACAATAGGACTGACTCGCTTCCCATTGGAGTCATGTCTGCAATGGCTTTCACATTCTGGTGTTAGTTCTTTATATTCTCCAGCATCAAATGCACCTACACCTGCTCCTTCCTTAAAAAAGGATGCATGATTGACAGCTTTGCTTTCAGTTCGAAAACAATTCATTAAACTATAATCATAAATCAATCATGCCTCTTGATTAAGACACCCCGATAGGCTGTAAGGTGACCATTCATGTGGAAGACAACAAGTGTTGTAGCACCGCGAAGTGTACCTCTGTCCATACTGATAATACATGATAGATAAAGTTATCACAGCACTAATGTGCACTTATGCTCCGAGCTCAAATCTTCCTTGAAATGAGATCTTGCTGGAATAAAACATTAAGCAAAATTATTGCACTATTTTTTGGAAGCCCATGAATCAATATTCTGTCATTTATCAAAGAACTCAATCAGCAGTGAAAAATTTTTGGATGGAGGAGAGAGCGAAGGTTTTGGAGGGAAGAGAAACAAACACATTAAAATAGCTTCAAAGCAATCAAAGTCTTAAGGACAAAGTTGCAATGCTATAGATGGTCATGTAAATTTTTCCCCAATTTTTCATTTAATGTTGAAAAGCAATACGTTCCATTTCAAATAAGTAGTTGGGAAAATTATGATCTCCCCTACGTGCATTACTGCACTCCTACATTTAAGATTATAGGTGCGGTGGAGGAAAGTGGGTAGTATAATTTATTAATAAATAACTGGTTCAAATTAGCAGGACAGATGAGGTGTCTAGACTGCAGTACATGAAAACTCCGTAGACACTATTGTGATCCAAGGCAAACATGCTAAGTGTTCGAAGTTTCAGTAGTTTCAGCTAAAAAGTTTGAAAGCTGGGGGCTGTACTACAGACACTGATGCATCACAGAGGGCAGATTTTGTTGGATTCTTAAAAATGAGGAGGCAGCCACTTTACTGTAAGATACAGTATTCTAATTTGGTTATTGGTCATAGTCAGGAAGAAGTGACTGCAAGTGAAGCAGAGGGCAGGAGGAGTGTCAGCTTAAGACCAATGTCCTTGCAAATTGCTCAACCAGGGCAGTAAACTAGGCTGTAATCTAAATGGTGGGGCCAGAGATCTAATGTGGAAAGATGTGGCACGTCATAGTGACAAGGCAAGAGATGAAAACAGCAACATGGATCAGAGAATGGCAAGAGGATATAGAAAGAAAGAAACCTAGAGACAAAACCGATGGATTTGTATGGGAATACATGGGCGGCACGGTGGCACAGTGGTTAGCACTGCTGCCTCACAGCACCAGGGACCCGGGTTCAATTCCATCCTCGGGCGACTGTCTGTGTGGAGTTTGCACGTTCTCCCAGTGTCTGCGTTTCCTGTGGGTGCTCAGGTTTCCTCCCACAGTCACAAAGATGTGCAGGCTAGGTGGATTGGCCATGCTAAATTGCCTGTAGTGTTCAGGGATTTGACACTTAGCGGGGTAGGTTTGGGTGGGTGCTGAGGGTCGGTGCGGGCTTGTTGGGCTGAAGGGCCTGTTTCCTCACTGTAGGGATTCTTCGATTCAGAACAAAGTAAACAAACTACCAGTACACACTGAATTAAATAAATACAATCCAATAGCCATTTAAGAGACATCGCCACAGTATAAGGACTGTCCTGATTATAGAAGAAAATATGACTTTGAAGAAAAATTGGAAGCTAGGTAAAAGGTTAAGGGCTAACATTGTTAATAAAAGATGGCATTTATATAATGTTTAGACAGGAATTCAAAAGTTCAGAATGTAGAATCAATTTGGATGGAAATGATAAATACTAGGAGAAAAGTCAGTATTGACTGTGGTCTGCAGGCCCTTTAACAGTAACCACACTGCAAGACAAAGTACACAGGTTGACCTTAATGTCTATACAAGCAGAGAAAATCAAACTGGCAGCGATCTGGATAAGGAATTCATAGTTTTTTTTTAAAAAAGAGGAGCACATTTTAGAATTGACCAGAGAGGTTATATTCGACTTGGCAGTGTGTAATTTGATAGGCTTAATTAATAACCTAAAAGTAAAAGGGAGCAGTAACCAATATTATTTCACATTCACCTTAAAAGAGAGAGAAATGTGTCTAAGACTAACATTTTAAACATAACATTTAGCTTCAGCCTTTTACAATCACAATGTTCCAAAACATTTTACAGTTAAAACTCCTTTCTGTTGGGCATTGTCAGATATGCGAGGTGGAAATAGGCATTTGTGAAGAGAAAAGTGATTTGGATCCAGACAATACTTTAACATGTAACCCATACCCTCAAATTACGAAGCTCCAGCTACGTGCTAAAAAGGAGAGTGCCAAGTCCTTGTTTGAACTTCACCTAACTGTAGTGTTCAAACTGGTTGCAAGTTGAGCTCTTTCCATTTTGCCATACTCAACTGGGGTTCTATAATAATTTCATATAAGTGCAGCATTGTGCACTTAACTGAATTGAGAGTTTCAAAATTAAACAGGTTTATAAATATCACAAGCAAAATACTACATTTACAAATCCACCTACAAGTTACCAGACCCCATATATGCAAAAGGAACCTAACTCCAGAAATAAAGACACAACAAAGAAAGTGAAATATCATAGGATTGCAGGCTCTATCAGCTAGGATGTAAAATTCAAGTTTCAAGACAAGAAGTACTGAACAGATAATCTGCCAAGTGAACACTAACTAGTAACCAAACTGGAAATCTGATCCATATATCTTTACACAACATACTTCCAACTATTCACCCACTGAGTCATTGGGGAATAGAGACATGCAGTGAAAAAGGACTTTTGTTTCATTGATAAGAATGCAAATTCACAAAAGGTGTTCAATGTACGTACTTCTGCAAGTGTTATTTTCAGTAACAGCTTCCCCAAACTCTGCTGACAACATCCCAATTGTTACCAAACAATGCAATTGTCAAATTTACCTGTCATACTGGCCAAATATACATGGTCAAAATAGATATTGATGAAAGTATCACTACAGATGTCTTGCCAACATATTCAAAATTTCCACAATTTTTCATTAAACACTATATTACATATTCAATATTTTCAAGCAGTACTGCTTAACTGAATTAATCATAAAAGTTAAAAAAAATGTGCATACATGATTGCACAGCTTTTACTGAGAATTACCCCAGACCAGGCAATTGGAAAAAATATTCTAGAACAATAAAAAAAGTACCTTGTTCTTGATGCCCTTGATGACATTTTGGAATCTTTCCTCTCATCTTCTGATTTGTCTTCAGAACCTGAGGAATTGTGATTTTCATCATCCTCCTTTTCTTCTCGTTTAATGTCAGCGTTAGATTGACTAACACTTGATCTCTGCAGACCACTGGACATTCCTAAAACAGAATGCAAAACAAGAAAGTTACATTTTTGATTTAGCTACTAGTTGATCAAGAGGAAATAAAAGAGATAACACCATGTGGGAGCTGGAGGAACAAAGCAGGCCAGGCAGCATCAGAGAAGCAGGAAAGTTGACATTCAAGTCGGGACCCTTCTTCAGAAATGGGGAGGGGGAAGGGAGCTCAGAAATAAATAGACAGAGGACGGATGGGGCTGGGGAATGTAGGTGGGACGGCGATAGGTTAGTGCAGGTAGGGAGTGGTGGGGATTGGTCAGTGAAGTGGAAGGGGCGAATAGGTAGGAAAGAAGATGGACAGGTTGTGTCGGGTCAAGGAGGCGGGGATGAGAGGGAGGGTCGGACATGGGAGGAGGCCGGGGTGGGTGGCGGGGACAGATTTTAAAACTGGTGAAACCCATGTTTAGGCCATCAGGCAGTAGGCTCCCGAGGCAGAATGAGGTGCTGCTCCTCCAGTTTGCGGGTAGCATCATTGTGACACTGGAGGCGGCCCAGGATCAACATGTCACCCAGGGAGTGGGAGGGGGGAGTTAAAATGGTTTGCGACTGGAAGGTGTCGTTTGTCGCGTAGAGCGCAGGTGCTCTACAAAATGGTCTCCGAATCTCCGCTGGGTCTCACGTGGCCTGCTGTGTTCCTCCAGCTCCACACTGTTATTTCTGACTCCAGCATCTGCAGTTCTTGCTATCTCTGAGGAAATAAAAGGGGTTTGTTCACAGATGAATTTTCAAAGTCATCCAGTAATGGTTCAGGCATAGACAAACTTTACAGCTATGATCTTTTAGTAATTTCAAAACAAAGATGCTTACACCCTATACTTTAAATTGTACTGTAACCCTGACAGGAATTTTATAAGCTTCAGTGCAGAAGCAGCAGTACAATCAGGAGGCCTTCAGTGGAGGCCACGGAAACTACAGCATTATAATCAGTGTCCAAATGAAAGCACTGCAGTTGCACAGATACAGGACGTATCATTTCTGATGTGTAAAGCAGAAATTATTTCTTCAAAGAATTAATGTAAAATAAAAGCAGGTTTATCAATTTAAAAAGGGAATTACTTTAGAATCCTCAGTGAGGCACATATACAGCCAGGTGCTACTTGAGTGTAGCTAGTTGAGAAGTGGCTAATGACTATGGTGACCAAGAGCTGGTAGAATAACAGATTTTGCTTTGTTAATCAGGATTATGTAAAAGGGAAAGAACCTAACTCGAGCAAAGCAAGACTTCGGAGAAGCAGATAGTTGGAAGGCCAGGTAAGATTTTTTTAACAATAATATTGCTGTTGCTTTTCATATTGTTCATATTATTCACTTTGTTTCTACAGGAAAACACTGAACATTAAATACTCTGGCTACCCTCATCCAAAAAGAATGAGAATGCTTTCAATGTGAGGAAGGAGTCTTGAACTCCTTCAAAGTAAGGTTAGGGAGGGAAGAGGTCAACAGTAAACATTAGTGTTTTTATTTGTATTAAATGCCTCAATCAGGAAATAAATTGCCTAAATCTAGTCAAAAGCATACCCGTCTACTTATTGAACAAACTACAGGTAAGCCATTATTCCCTACTGAAGTACCCAAATATTGATTGAGAGGATCTCATATCTCAGTATCTTTTGCAAACAATCTTTATTCCTCTATCCTTTAACTGTATTTACCTGACTTTTCATACACTAATTTTTCATTCATGAACAGTACAGAAGGTGATGCTTAAACATGAAAATTCTCCTCGTCAGATTATATCTTAAATCAAAAGACTAGAGACAATTTGTTCTCAAATGTTTGCATTTTTGCTAACCTATAACTAGCCTATTATTAGCTAAGGGCTGCCCACAGTAATTAAGTTTTCTCAGCCTTCATGCAGTAAATCAATTTATCTCTAGTACTCTCAAACTGCACAGCTTGGATGAGTAACACCAGGTGATAAGGCATTAACTGAATCCTTACATTTGCAATAATACATCACTGTGAAGTTTCAAAAGATCTCTGCCGGTTTACAGTTTGTTTGATATTTACATCTATCTTGAAAGAAATAAGTGCAAAATACAATTCAAATATATTGATACACCAATACTAACCACTGTAGGTTTCTTGTGGTCGGTTAAGGTCTGACAATGCAGTAGTTTGTGATGGGAGTGCACGACTAGGCAGAACACTAGCATTACTAGATATTCCTGTACCTTCTTCATGAGCTGCAACCTGAAAAATAAATTTATTTTAGGAATAACGTTTTGCACAATCTGAAAGCTAAGCAAAATAAATGATAAAGGGGCATTAAGATGAATACCCCAAAACCTCAAATAAACAGAGCAGGTTTGTGGAACCTAAGAGAATTAAAAGCTGCGGGACAACTGTGCAATGCTCAAAAGGTCTACACTGATACAGGAGCTGTAATTTGGGTGAAATGGTAAACTAAAGGTCCATCTGCCATTTCTGGTGGATGTTTAAAAGGAGGTTGGACATATCTAAAAACACCAAGCGAGTTCTCTGGGTTACTTGAACAATACTCTCTCGCAATCAATGCCAGTTAAAAACAATGAGAATTATGATCATTGCTGCTTACAGGTTCTTCCTGTGACCGACTTAGCTGCTGTTTTGTCCACAACAGTGTCTTAACTTAGAAGTAAATCTTACTGGCTAGGATATACTGAGACCATGAAAGACTAAATAAATAAAGTTTCTTTACCCAGGAGTGGTGGATGCACGGAATGCACTGCCAGTGGTGGTGGTAGAGTCTGATACATTAGGGACATGAATGATAGTAAAATGAAGTGTTTGCAGGTTAGTTTGGTCTTAGAGTAGGACATTAGGTCGGCACAACATCATGGGCTGAAGGGCCTGTACTGTGCTGTATTGTTCCATGTTCTTCTGGCTCTCTAATTTCAGTACTTCATTTACGTTGTGCAACCCAAAATTCACCACAGTGCTAAGTAAACCCTACACTGAAATGCAACATTTGTATCAAGAGAAACCACATGTGTATTGAGTTTGTGCTCCCATTTCCAAATCAGCTAAGATTGGATGTGTAGTGTTTGTACTAAATCTGTGTTATTAAAATATGTCTATACTTGTTGTTCAATTTGAATGCCAGGAAATTGAGCCAGTTTCCAAATTGGATAGACACATATTTGGCCTCACTCAACTCTCAAAGAGTTTTGACATAGGACTCATTCTGAAAACAAATAAAAGACACGATAAAATGAAATAAATACTTTAGAATTGCAACTGTGATTCTATATTTAGACAGATACTCAGCTAGCCACCTCACAAAGATACAGGATGTCTTCCTTGAAAATCTCGAACAGTATCAGCATTGCAGGAAGTTACATTATGTTCTTTGATTATCTTTGGCTGTAGATTTGAGTGAGTTCTGGCTGAGGCTGAGATGTGCAATGACTTATTATGCTGGCACTAGAGTCTAACAGTTGTTGTAAATACTCTCTCTCAAACAACTGACAAGTCAAAAAAGAACTCAGGCAGTTTTCAAAAACAAAGATACTTCACAATTTGTCTAAACTGCTAACTTTAGAGAAAACCATGCAAGAACCAAGGAACATTTTCCCCTGCACATTGCTGCAGACAAAAATAGAAGCTAGAATCCCAAAACAACTGCACTGCAACATAGGCCAGCCAAGTAGATGAAGGAGGTTTCAAGGGGGAAAAAAAAGCATCATGCCTGGTTCAACTGTTTGGAAGGAGATCATATTTACATTTGCAAAGGATCAAAAATACAAGAGAAATTTTGCTAAAAATATGATCAGTTCTACATAATAGAACTTTAAATATAAAAACTCGTGTTCAGACAAATACTGTCAACTTTTGTTTATTAAGTAGCATGAATGAAGCTTTAACCCTTGGAATCCTGATGGTTACAAAGAGTTTTGATAAGATGACACCTTGTAAATAATGTTAGATACATTCAGACAGCAACAACAAAAAAAGGACCTAAAACAAAGTTCACCTTGAAACTCTGCCATGAGGAAAAAAACCTTGTGACTTATCAGTTTCTGCACAGAAATTCATTGTTGTTCACTAGAACATAATAATACTTGTATATATAAATTATGAAGGAATAACTCTCACCATTGAATGCCTATTGGCTGACATCAGTCCTGGGGGTGTAAATCCTGGACCTATACCTCCAACTGGGCCATTGTGTGATGGTCCTATTAACACATGCAAGTCACCATGGCTACCAGGCATGGCAGTTGCAGATCCAACAGCATGACTACGCAGAACATGAATGGCATCATCCAGTCGGTCTAGTCGATCCTCCATTTTATTCTGCTGCTTAGAAAGAAATGAACGGTTCAAAGTTTTTTTTTTAAATTGTTAATTACAGAGCATACCTTTAACTTGTTTTGACAACAGCAGCAAATTTAGTACAGTTAAGATCAAATATTGTACTTATGTGAAATGTATAAATTAAGGAATTTGCAATTATATTATGCTTACTGATCTACAAGGTTATATCCTATATACAGGTCGGAAAAGACAAATATATACCTCACAGGTTTGTCAAGAACTTAAGAGTTTCAGTTCATGAAAAGCACTACATCAATACAATATTGCTCTAATAATTGTATTAGAACAATAAAAGCAAAAGAAGTTGTTTGGGAGCATCACCAGATGTCCATCTTGAAATGGTGCCAACAAGGAAAAAGACTCCTAAGGTCTAAATTCTATCCACTTTCTTGGTTGGACAATAAAGATCGATCTACAGAAAAGAAAGAGAAGCCTTTGAACTGTGGATGCCAAGACATATGCCAAAAAGCCATAAACATGAAGAGGTGTTTGAAACTTCAGGAGCAAGAAGAACTGAAAAAAAAGGCATCCAGAAAGGAAGACATTTTGGCCACTTGATCACAGCTGAAAAGCTACAGAGATCTGTCCTTGAGGGTAAAGTGGAGGGCTGCACAAAGATGGGTTAACCTGTACATCCTTGGATGAAGGATGTCAGAGTTGTTGTAGATGAGGTGGAATCACCCCTCCCATCGACCAACCAGTCGCACCAACTATCCCAGTCCCTCTATCACCACCATTCCGCTACCACCCCTCTGTCCTCTCTTTATCTGCAGCAGCCCCCACCCCACATCCAGTCCTGAAGGGGAATACCCAGAACGTTGACTTCTCCTTTCCTCCAAAATGCTGCCTGGCTTGCTGTCTTCTTCCAGCCTCCTGTCTGTCTACCTGCTGTTCAAAGTTCAATTCTCAACTTCAACTCTCAGCTCCAAACCAAAAATGAGAATAGCAAAACAAACAGTAATGGTTTCAACATAGGAAACTTGCTTCTAGCACAGTAACACAGGAGCAAGTGTCTAAGCCTGTAACATTAATGCAGCATAATTACTGGTGAGTTGCTCACAATTAGCAACTCAAAGAGAGAACTTCGACTCCTTTCTAGTAAAACCACGAGTGTTGTGGTACAAAACTAAACAGATGAGGTGCCCAGTTCAATTCCTGCCAAGTTATCCAGACTCAGATGGAGCATCAAAGCCTCTCTGCGAAGGCAAGAATGCAGACCTGAAGCATTGAACAAATATGGGCAGATATCAAAGGGTTGTTGGCATTTGATCTCCATTCCAGCAAAAAAAAAAGAAGTGTTGTCAGATGCAAAGAAAATAGGTCTACATAGTGTTTTTCATCACCTGATTACAAAAAGTAGGTTCACAGATAGGGCTGATCGAATTTGGCTTGATGACAACTTTTCAGTTTAGATTGCTTAAAAGAGGAACTTGCTTTTCAATCAATCACTCCAAAGCAGATACAAAGTATTAAGAAACTCCAAGTACCTGCTTGGTTTTATGTTATTGGGTAGACATCTTTCACCATTGCGTTATGCTTATTAATGTGAATTGCTCTTGCAAGATTGAAATTCCGAACAGTGTAGAAGCAAAACGTCAAGATATTGAAGATTTAAAGATGGGACACAAATAAAACAGGCATTAAATCTTTAGCTATTCTAAGTAGTGTTTTGTAGAAAAGACAAAGTTTGCTACTGCACACAGTTGTACCACTTGATAGACAGAACAAAATTCAATGGCAATATTTCCAGTTTGATAACAACATAACATTTGCCAAGGAAGGATTAACATTTTGAGCCACCAGATCACATCACACTTAATACAGATATTTCTGCTATATTGCGTGTTTTGTTAACACGAATTGGTGAATAATGAGACGCTGTTTGGATAACGCGAACTCTGTGGTACAGGTACAGCGATTTTCCTATAACATTTTCTCCAGTGATTTTCTATAGCGCGAGGTCACACAAGAACGCAACTATTCAGTTATTGGAGAACTACCTGTACTTTGATGGGACACAGTTTAAATCCAGAAACTATGCATTCTTTTTACTTTATAAGACGGACTAAAGCCACCAACCTTTTCACCAGTTTAAAAAAAAAAGGGCTTTAAAGAAACAGAGCTTCTCTTACTAGTCACATTTCCTCCAATCCATTGGATCAACATTTCCAAGCAGCAGATTCTCTAAAGACAAGTGTAACATAACTTGTCTTACAATGCATTAAAGAGTATTTAATAAAATGGTGGCATGAGGTTGAATTTAAAAAGTCAGAAAAGGAGCAGGGGCTGTGGTGAAAAAGCACACAAACACAAAAGACTTTAAGAACGTGAAAACCTGGGAGGGGCTGTAAATCATAAGTAATTTTGAGGGGATGTTCTAGCCAGTAGGCGTACTGGAGCCCAAGGAGAACACACTTGGTGACATAGAAATATAAAACGAACAGTAAACATTATAAATTGAATGAAGGAACATCATATGTCCAAAATTTACACATTAAAAGAACATTCAAGAGATAAAGCTAGGATATGGATAATCATGAGTGCAATATTCTAATAATTCATCAGAATGGGAGATTGATGGAGTTTGGTAAGGATGGGGATTGTCATACTCTGAACAGATTACAGGTTGCAGTAGATAAAGACAAATAGCCAGCAAAGAATTATACAATACTGAGGGGCCCCGAATAACGTGGACATGGAGAAGATGTTTCCCTCGGTAGGACAGACTAGACACCCAAGGGCATAGTCTCAGTGAAGGGATGACCTTTTAGACCCGAGATGAGGAGGAATTCTTCAGCCAGAGGATGGTGAATGTGTGAAACTCATTTGTTGCACAGGACTATGGAGGACAATTCATTGACTGCATTTAAGATAGAAATAGATTCTTGATTGGCAAGGGGACCAGGGGCTACAGGGAGAAGGCAAGAGAATGGGGCTGAGAAACATGAACCAGGATTGAATGGCAGAGCAGACTCAATGGGCCAAATGGTCTCATTCTGCTTCTCTCTTTTATGGTCTAAAAGGAAGGCAAGTTGCGGAGATGAGAAACAGATGGACTATTGCCTCAAAACAGAAGTGGGAGAAGTAGGGTTGAATACAGGATTAGTTCAGGTGACAGATATAGATATGAAAATGGAAGCTCAACTCAAGGAACAAAGGTGGTCATTGAGGCATGTACCTCTGGGCTAAGTATGAGGTGACAGCCTGGGAGCCCACCACAGCCAGAACCAAAAATGACCACTTCAGTTTTACCAAAATAATGTTGGGTGTGGAATATGTCTGGATTCAGGACAGCGCATGAGACACAGGGAGTGACAGTGTGTGTGTGAGAGCGACACCCAGACAGCGCGAGAGTGAACACGTGCGAGAGCAACACCCAGGGAGTGCGAGAGCAATAGAAATAGCTGCTTCAGTCTGTTCTGACTCAAATGGCTCACACAGAGAAGTGACAACTGTAACATAAATTCCACAAAGCAAAGCATCTAAAAAAAACTGATGTACAAGTTTGTCAAGAATTCAATTAAAAACTCAAGCTTGAAGATAAACCTCAAATGAGAGGATGAGAGGATGGCACAGATTACACTTTCATTAGAAGTGTTCATGCTTTTGAGTTGCTCTTTGACAAACAAAAATAAATGAATTAAAATGTTACATAAGCTATAATTTTTGAAACAAAATAGAGGAATCAAGCATGAAAATCCTACCAGATTATGTACTGTTCCTTCATAATTCGGCGATAAAGCACCTTGGCCTCCAGATCTAGACCACTGACCTGTACCTATAAAATGATAACTACTAGTGAGGCTTTGTTTACTCAAAATCAATTCCACAATCTTAAAGTGAAACTGGTTTACTTAATTCTCACTGGATCCAGTTCTGAGATCTAGAACTTTCAGTAAAGATGCACATTACAAAGCGGCCTAAGTTCTTCAATATTTATATCCCCGTTGATCACCATTCACTCCATTCACCAACAGTATACACTGATTGCAAGGCATTTCATCTACAAGATACACTGCAGCAACCTCCTGGAACTTCTTTGACAGCAACTTCCAAAGCTACAATCTCTATCACGAAGAATGAGGGCAATAATCACAAGAGAACACAGCACTTTCAAGTCTCATTCCATGTCATGCACCCTCCAGGCCTGGAAATATGTTACTAATCTTTCATTGTCAGAGGGAGTGAATTTAAGGATTTTGACTCAAACAGCAAAAAAGGGAATAGCTAGACAATACGAGCTGCAATTGTTCACCAATAAAAAGGTGAAATAGTGATATTAAAAGCTGGCCTGACGAGCACATCCACATCCCATGCAATGACTGAAGGCAGAAAATACCAGTTATATTCTATTTAAAAATTGCTTCAATTTAAGCTTTGACCATTAGATGGTGCAACTGCACTATATTCAAGTTTAATGGAACAACTATGTATACACATTTCCAGGTTAATGGCTTGGACAAATGCTAACCATAACATTCTGAAAGAGAACACCTGAATTTTCAATCAGCTCATGGGGGAAAAACAAAACCACAATTTACCTGCAATTGCCTGTGGAGACCCAACTGGTGTTGATGGATTTGAATGGAAGTTATTGCTGGTGTGATCTGGTGAATAGATCTGGAAAACATTAATGGCCAAAATGAAGTTATTCTTTTCAACATAAAGACGGCTTACTTAATTGCACTCACGAGGTTGAATTCACACTGAACATTGTAATGTTTATTAACTACATTTCAAGTACCAATCTAAATTTAGCTGCATACAAATTCTAATCTGCAATAAGCTGATTCATGTTAATTAAAGACCTTTAACTAAATCCTTACTTTAAAATGACTTATTATGCAAGCTTACCGAGGCTAGAGCCTTTCCCAGTGCATCACAGGTTTGTGGGCTGCCAGCTGAGCTTCCTCTGTTAGCTAAAACCAGAATAGATACATTAACAGGAAACCCAGCAGGTAAATACAATAAATATTTTATGTTAGGCTAACAGATGTATCTGAATTCAAATAAACTATATGAATCTATCATTTAAATAAATCAATTTAACAGAAGCATGCATTTTTCAGACAAAGGCCTCATCATTTATTTCTTAAAGACTAGGATACAAATACAAATGATGTTCATGTAACTAAATATGGCTAACAAAAATAAAGCAGTTAATTTAGTTAACAAAATTTAACAATAAGTGATGGACAAGGGTGAAAAGCTGTGAAGTTTGAATGACACCACAAAAGATGGAAACTCATTTAAAAAGGACAAAACAGGCAAATGCATTACTCCATTTATGCACAGTGACAAATAGGCTGAGCAGTTAGATATATTAATGGTTCACTGTTTTGAAGTCAGGACACCACAACCTACACAAAGTTAGGACACTATGAAAATTTACTTTCAAGTGACCCAAAATCTGTTGAATGTTACTCCGATCCACCCTATGACAAGACCATTCTTCAATTCACTCCTAAGATCTGTACTTGATTGCTTTCCCCCACCCTTTATATGCAAGGTACTTAGAAGGACCAATTATTTTAAAAGTGATTTGTCATTGAAGGTTACCAAAGCTATTGCATCAATGGTTTACAACCCAGGATTTAACAAGTCCACACCTCCACTTGTATGACAAGATTATGGCTTGGATTTTGTGGTAAGAGACAAAGCATGGCATGGCTGCTGACCTTAAAAAAAATTCCCCATGAAGGTCTAGCCAACTCTGACAAGGATTTTTCCTTTCCTGACAAATTCAACTCTGATACCAAGTCAAGGGGATCTTTAAGTGTCCAGCGACATCAGTAGCAAAGCCAAAAAGCATGTAAAGTAGCCAAATCTATTGAAGCCTCAAGCACTTTATTCTTAATTTTCAGATAATGAAGTAAACGGTGATTGATTATTTTAGCCTCTACCTCATTCCAAACATTTAAGCATATTTTACAAGTTCAATTGTTTTCATGACAATGGATAAATTGGACACTCTAGCTTCCCAGGAAAAAGATTTTAGCAGTAATTATAAAGTTAATATACTGTTTAAAAACCCAGTTAAACCTCATTCAATCGAGTGTACCTTTCTTCTAAGGTACTTACAATGAGACCATTAATGTAATAGTGGAAACCCTTGTCAAATCATCAATATCCTGTTGGTTGCATCTGGGGCTAGGACCTGGACAGCATGCCCTCTGAACGAGTGTCGAATCACGGTCAGCAACATCTACATTTCCACTTTATTCTGCACATGCAGAAACTCCTAAAGTTGCCCATTTGTTAGGCTATAACACTGTCTCATTTCAACTATGTGTATTCACCTAGAAGCACTGGTTTACCAATCTGCAATGTAGTCAGTGCCCAAAAGGAGTGCAAGTTCAGAATCAATGCTACAATGTTCTCACTCCATTTGTAAATATAGTCCCCATTACAGGTGGGATAAATGGATTCACTTTAAGGAGAAAAAGGTTTGGCATAAAAAAAAAATCATGAAGAATGCCTATCCTTTTAAAGAACTTCCAACTTGTGTGATCCCTCCCAACTCACATCCAAGGGCCTGTGGTCAATTTTCCACTGTGATCACCAGCAGGAGCAATGCAGCAGAGGAACAGTAAAGAAATCTATATTAGCATCACATACTCCTTTTCCTTTACTAAAAACAAAAAAAATTCAAAGAAAGGTTTTTAAATATCTAAGAGTAGGTTCCAAGCATCAAAAATTACAGGGAAAGCAGAAAAGAAAAGCCATAGAAGAACCCATCATCCATGGAAGTTCAGAAGTATAAGGTTTAGTAAGTGGTGAATATCACAAAGATTAAGGAAATTCAGGGAAAGGAAGTGAATCCTTTACTTATATCTGCATGCAACTTATTTTAGCAGGCAGAACCTTTGCCAAATTTCTAATAAAATCATGTGACTCCACATGATAACTTACAATTCCCTACGTGAAAAAGCACTAATTCAATTATAAAGTCTGAGTTATACAGCACGGAAACAGACAGTTTTGGTCTAACCAGTCCATGCTGACCATAATCCCAACCTAAACTAACTCCACCTGCCCGCGTTTGGCCTATTTCCTTCCAAAGATTTTAACCATGTATTTATCCAAAATGTCTTTTAAACATTGTAACTGTACCTGCATCCACCACTTCCTCTGCAAGTTCATTCCACACACTGATCACTAAAACAAAAATTGCCCCCATGTCTCTTTTTTTCCAAATCTTTCTCCTTGCAACCTAAAAATATGCCCCCTAGTCTTGAAATTCTCTACTCTCTAGCTTAATATTATCCTTCCTTTAACCAGGCGACCAGAACTGGATACAGCACTCCAGAAAAGGCCTCATCAAGGTCTTGTACAACCTCAACATAACTTGCATTGGATACTACCGCTAAAAAAGGAATTTCTCCTCAATGGCTAGTAGCTGCCTAACTCAATAAATTATCATTGTCTAACAGATTTTCTCACATTCTTCACAAGACAATGAAATTGATTTTCATGCATACATTTCTGGCTATCCAGAAATTATATTCCAAGTGTTAGCAGAAAGTAATATTTAATATTTCTTATTACAGTTGGAGTTCAGACATCATTTGGCCCAGAATGTTAAATGTGTTCTGAGGAATTCCTGCATGTTGAATTTAGGCGGTGTCTTCTGAATTAACTAGGTTTAACATTAACTTAAGATACAAAATTCGTGTAAAGGATAGTCACTTTTATGCAATAAATTCTACAATGGCATTTTGACTTACTTCTTGGAGAAATACATTACAATATGGTGCTTTGCAAAATGGCGATCAGATATGGTTGTACTGGGTGTCAGTGGAATGCAACATGATCAAGAGTTCACTTCCCACTCCCCACCCCATCAATGAGTTTTACTACAGTCTTACCTTATTGGAGAACTATTCTTACATACTAATATTTCATGCCAAATTTGTTTTTAAACTAGCAGATTTGCAATTTGTACAGCCAAAAATTTTTGGTACTTTTATGTTGTAAAATGGACCACGGCCAAACCATGCCAGAAGTGAAATGTAACACCACGAATGGTAATCTCTTTTTCTGATTACAATGGTGAGATTTCTTAGCGAATTTTGCAAATTTGCTAAAACTTTTGCTTCTTATAGTCACAATGGTCTTACCAGACCATAGGGTCTCTCTCTCTCATTAGAGAGAGAGAGAACTGAAGGTGGTTTAATTTGAGCCTCAGGAAAGAGAGTTTGAGGAGAATCCTTCATGGTAACTTCAGCCTCTGCAGGAATTGAACACATGCTGCTGGAATCACTCTACAGCACAAACTAGCAGTCTAGCCAACTGAACCAAACCAGCCCCCACCTCAATGACTATAAGGTCAAAACATTTAACAATTTCAGTCAGTTCAAATATAAATTAACTCTATGTGTAGACCAAAAAAAAGTTATAAACCACGCAAAACACAGCTTACATTAGTTTAAACGAATCAAGCTTGGATGCTGAGTTTAATAATCAGGTTCAACCAGGGCCAATTATTTTTACCATTTTGTCTTACTGAAATGCATTAACCAACTCAGATCCAAAGAGAGAGACAAAGCTAAACAACAGGAAACAGAATATGGAGGGATCTTGTTTGTACTTGTGAACTGTCTGAGAAAACATCTTTATTCTTTACACAAAGCATTTTTCAGCGATTGCTGAAAAGGAAAGGAGCACTGCATTCAGCGAAATGATTCATTCTGAAAACAATAAATAACCTTTGGAAATGCTTAAACTTGGGGCAGGGCTCTTCAACTGTAGCAAAGATGCATGAAGGAAAACCTGGTTCTCCTTCCTATTTCTTACTGTCTTAAGGTCTACCATTCAGGACAAAGCAGCCTGCATGATTGATAGTGCATCCACAAACAAACAATTGGTCATTCCACAGCTGATGCTCCATAGCAGCAATTTGTACCATCTACAAGATGCACTGCTGAAATTCACCAAGGCTCCTAAGGCAGCACCTCCCAAACCCATGACTATCATCAGTTAGATGGATAAGGGCAGCAGATGTATGGGGATAACATCTCCAAGTGTCCCTCCAAGCCACTATCACTCTGATTTGAAAATACATCACTGTCCCTTCAGTGTCATTGAATCAATCACCTGGAACTCCCTAATAATATTATGGATTTACTGACACCAAAATGGATGGTTGCAGTTCAGGTGCCTCACCACCACCTTCTCAGGGCACAGAGCTGGGTAATAAATTCTGGCCCATCTAGTGATGCTCATGTCCAATGAATGAAATTTGAAAAGCCTCGACAATCAGTTCAATGCAAAACCGACAGTAACGTTGAAGTTGGTACCTTGTAAACTTGGGAATATAAAATGAAAGCTTTAACAATGGTAACTGAATAAAAAAGGACAACATGTGCTTCATTCACATGAACAGATCAAAAGATTTATAGAAATCATGCATTAAAAGCCATACATACTCATGATGGTTTCTGTCCCACTGATTGGTGGTGTATGAGATGAAACACCATATGCAGTTGAACCTGCATTACTGGAACAGTGGAAACCAGACATAGATGGAAGACTTCCGTTAACTTCTGTTGATGGCACACTGTGTATTGGGTAGCTCTGAAAAAGAAAAATTGTAGAGGTACAAAGCTCATTCGCCAATTTTCCCAAGTGCTGAAAGTATGTGGTTACACTGATTGTTCAAGGCAATTACTGTCAGTGTTAAAAACACATTTCATGAGAGAGAGTTTGCTTTTTAAATAAAAAAAATCCATAAATAACAGGTAAAAGGAAGTTGTCATCATGAAACTAAGGCTGGTTTAAGACTTTCCCCTTATTCAATACTTGGATCAAGATGCAATCCAATAAGTCAGTATGTGCACAGTTTATATTCCTAACTTCATGTGTGCAATCTCCGTCCCCTAAAGCTAATAAAAACTTTTATTACACATTTTCAACATATCGTCAAAGGAAGGCTTAAAAAGTAAAAATAGCTTAACTAAAGTTGGCACAACAAATTCATATCCATGATTTCTCTTGGAGGCTTCTAATCTCAATCATGCCATCTTTGGCAAGTAACAAGGGAAATGTTTAATTACAGAACAAAGCATGGAGGACTCCCTGGCTCTCATTGAGTTTACTAGCAGTACATTACTAAGTTACCCTGGTGCTACATCTTTGAAGAGGCTACAAACAAGTGCCTATTATAACAACTTGTGGAATTAGAACAAAAGATGAAAACAAAAACATACAAGGATTTCGAACCATCATACCACTAAGCTGTATTTCAAAATAGAAATGTTAGATATCCATCAGCTACATAGAACGTTTTCAAATATTGTGATTCTCAAAATTGATAGAGAAACTAACAGAACAAACTATGACCATTTTTAAAACATTTTCTTGCACTAAACTCCAGCTCCAAGAGACAGTTAGACACACTTAGTAGCATGCAGGAGGCTTGTTTATGGTATTCAGCGATATGGAAACAAAGTAGGTAAATGAAGATCTGGTACAGATTCACTACATTATCTCCGAATGGTAGGTCAGGCTCAAGAGGACTCTTCCAGCAACAGGTAGACTATGTGAAACAAATTTGGCTGTCGCTATATGGCTCATTTATGAGGAACTGAAATGTGAAAGCAGCAAAGCTCAGTACTAATCAGGATTTTCACTTCGAGAGGATGGCTATTGTGGGAAATAGGAAATTCACACAGCGCAATCGCAATGCTTCCTGGAGGTTGGGGCTAAGGGCATTGTTAAATACAAATCTGGAATAATCATATCTGACCTCTGAATATTTAATGTGACTTTTATATCCTAAATAACAAATAGGTTGTACTGTCCAATGTATTACATTCATTGCAAATTGTATTCCTTGCTTTTTAGGTGAACAAAAATACAAGTGTCTCATGGTCATAAAGACAGATTTTGTTTTTTTAAAATTCTTTCTACTATATTGCCTGAAGACCAGGCACATAAACAAAAACATGGTGGTGGTAGTGCAGAAGGCAAGAGAGACAAAAATAAAAATCAGATTGGTATCTTTCTCCACCATTGATGCAAATCCAGATCAGTCAACAACTGCAGAAATATAACAGTGGTTGAGCACTGTTGATATACTAACTTACACTGTTTAAGCTGTTTATTTCAGTCTTTCAGCTTACCACAATGAATGTCTGGGGCCTCAAGAGGTGGAGTAAAAATATACAAAAGATTTCCCCAAGGAGGTAGAGGAATTCCACTTTTCTCACCTTAAAGAAATGTGAATGGGCTGCGAGTTTATTGCAAAATCCAAAATTATAACTACTACTTTCATGCTGTGCCTGCTCCTAATGACCCAAAACAAACAGAAAAATTCCTGGCTGATAAATATCAAAAACTTGCACTGCACGCAAAGTCAAGAATGAATTTTCAGTGAGTGTTACAGGATTTAATTTTCGTTGTAAACGAATAAAAAGCAAGTGTAATTTAACAATAATTTCTTTAAAAACCAAATTTAAAAAGTTGGTGTTTGATGGTTCATTATTTTCCAATGTGGTTTAGCCCCAGCCGAGCATGAGGGAACATGACTCATGGAATGCAGTTTAAAATATCCCCATTTTGATAGTTCTTGAAATGACCTTCAACCTGAACAATCAATGTGTGTCACTGGACCAAGAAAATCATGTTGGATAAAAGTAGTCATATCCCAAAAAGAAACATTATTTTTCATGGGGTAAGTTGACAAAAGGAAAAAAGGTGTCGAGCAACTCTGCTGGCATTAATAGCGAATTTGTTTATATAAACTTTCAGAAATAATTCACTGTGATATGCATTTTGAGATATATACATTTGACTAGTGCTTAATGTACATCAATCATTCTGTAATAAAAATTACTCGAGATAAGAAAATAAATGTAAAGAAATTGGCTATTAAACGTTCCAAGCAAATTGCTAAACCATAAATGCTGCTGAGTTTGTTTAAAAATAGTTTTTAATAGCAGTCCTAAAACTGCTTTGGTTTGCTCAAAGCTCATTTTAAATAATGCTGAATAAAACTGTATCAGCATACTGATTTGAAGGGGATCTTTTTCCATAAGGCTATCAAAGCTGACTTTAATAGTTCAGGATGAGTTAAATGATTCAGTGATAATCTAACACGTGAATAAACTTGTGCAACTAGAATTGGTAATGCTTGGTTTTCACATAACAGCTTTGCCATAGGCTAAAATCGTCTGGAATCAGGAAGAAATACTGAGAAAAAAAATGAAAACAAAAATCAACAAGCATTTCCAATCTAGGATCATTATTCTGGAGGCAAACCTCACTTACCAGGCGTTCCTGTGAATGAAGGTTGCTGTAGCCACCAGATTGAGACAAATGGGATGAAGAATTTGCCATCAAATTTCCATATCCCGGTTGGCCTATTCCACTGGATGAGGTCCAAACATCAGGACCATTGGGAATACCATCTAAAATGTAACAAGAAGCTTACTTACATAGCCATGGCACACAGGAGCAAAAAGTTTAATTATTCACCCTCTTAACTGGCCAGTTTGTGTACAGATAAAACAAAATAAAAGTAAACCAAATCACTCCTGGATAAAGCATTATTTTCTTTCTAGTTATTCATTGCATTCCGTGGATATATGCTAAAACCTAAGGTGACCAATGGGATCTGTTCATATCAATGCAGGATGAAAACGGCCTTTTAATTATCTATACTTTATTGAACCTAGACTAAGATTTTTCCTTTTATTTTAGGGGTGGGGAGGTGGTGGTTGTAGGAGTAGAACAATAAATACTCTTCTTTCCCTAAAGTGAATTAGTTCACAGTCCTAATCCAGTTCCTAGTGGGCATTAGCTTATAGATGAAAGTCATCCTTAATGAAGTAATTTGTGTACAATCAGATAGGCTATAGGATAGCATGACACGACAAGGGGCAAGTTCCATGTAGGGTTCTGGATATCACCTTCCACTTTCAAGATGCACCATTATTGGGGCTGATGAAAAGGAACTTTCATTTGTGTCTAATAACAGATACCTTGTTTAGAAGGACTAACTGCTAGTACTAAGTTGCTAGTAAAAGGAAAATAAAACAGAAAAAATTGGGAATATAACCTGCATCTTAAAAGCTGTTCTGCAAGCTCCACTTGCAATCAATTGCAGTAGAGTCTGTTTCATCTAACTTGCTCACATTGCAAGTTATGTACAGAAATTATTTGCCACTCTGAGGCTGCATGTTGCTCAAGCGAAATGGGATACACTTTGGAAGACTGCTCTCTGCACAACAGGCAGAAAAATAACTGAGCAAGATGGTATTAAGGTTCAGCATCAGCCAGAGGTTGGTGCTGTGGCAATTATTTAAATTAGAACAGTACCAAATCACATAATTGACAATTGTTGAAAAACCAGTAAAATCAACAGCTTAACTGACATAATTCTTTTGTACCCCAGGCAGACTGTTCCAAGACCTTATCGTCCTTAACTGTTACGTTTATAAATCAAATCATTCTCAATTCCCTAACCAAAACTATTTGTCAGGATTCAAGCCCTACATGGGAGCAAACAAAGAGAGTAGAAATTGTGCACGGGCTAAAATAGGACGCAAAAACTGGTTTGAAAAGTTACATTCAAAGACTTGAACAATTGCATGGATTCTTGAGTTAGAATGATTTTGTCCAATACCCAGAGAACAAAAAGAAATGGAAGAACCCATCCTGTTGGTACCTAATTCCTCATTGTAAAGGAACCCTATCCCGATGTAAATTAACTTTACAGGGCAAAAACAGAGAAGACTACACAAAAGCAATGCTATGCACTCAAAACGTGCCCAATATTATTAATCAAATGTGAATCAGGAATTGCAATTTACTAAAGAGAAAACAGAAAGCATTCACCAGTTCAATGCTGATTAATTCAGTTATCCATGATCAGCTTTTTACCTTGAATATAGAAAGAGCCTGGAAATATAGAACCTGAAGGTTTGGATGAAGAATATCCAGATGTATCTCTGCTATATTCTTCACTTGATGTTGATGCGTAGACCTGCATTGGAAGGCAGAATATAATGTTAATAAAAATGATAAAAACTGAATCAAGGTCTTTAGCTAAATTTCTATAGTTTTTAATGCCATTTAAACCCAAATAATTGAGCATCCCCCCCACCCAATGAAATCTAAGGATTTTGTAATAAACATCTTTTTACAATTTACATAACCATAATTAGAGAGGTTACAAGTAACCCATCCTGTTGCAGTGGCAGTCAATGACCATCTCAAAGAGAAATAAGCAAATAATTTCTCCATGACAGTCAATGGCACTATCATCGTTAGACTCCCCACTAGCATCCTAAGGGTTACTATTTACAAGAAACTGATCTGGACTGACCATATAAATACTATGGCTCGAAGAGCAGGTCAAAAGCTGAGAATTTTGCAGCAACTTATTCATCTCTTAACCAGCCCCATTCACCTCAAAAGCCTGGCCACCAAAATGATCAGCTCTCAAAGGCCTCACCCTTACTCTTACTACACATTCTCAAATGGAGGTGGGGTAAACAACCTTAAAATTGTCAAGCGATCTGTTCATGAGCAGCAGTCAAAAGTGGCTTTGATGTGAATTAGCATCAGATTGCAGCAGATGGATAATGCAAAGTGGGTTTCTGGTCTCACTTCAGAACTGTGACAGAATGGAGGTGGACGCAGAGTAACAGGAAGATCACTAGGGAAACCCTTAGTTAACAAGGCTGGCGGTGAGTGTCAGGTGAAAGCAACCTTGAGGGAGTCCCCCCTAAGAAAAGGATTACATCAACCATTTACTCTATATAATATTGTAGATTTTACTATTTGAAAAAAGGGCCTTCAACTGAAAGCATTTCAAATCTATGCTTTATACTCCTTCCTCAAATTTCAAGACTAGGCAAAACAACGAGCCCTTAGGTCACAGAGATAGTAGGAACTGCCGATGCTGGAGAATCTGAGATAACAAGGTGTAGAGCTTGATGAACACAGCAGGCCAAGCAGCAGAGGAGCAGGAAAGCAGAGGAGTGTGGAAGTGCAGGGAATCCACAACTTCCCCTCCACAGTGGTCGAAAACGCCCTCGACCGTGTCTCTCGCATTTCCTGCAACTCATCGCTCACACCCCCTCCCCGCAAAAACCACCAAAACAGAATCCCCACAGAATCCCCCTCATCCTCATGTACCACCCCACCAACCTCCGGATCCAACGCATCATCCTCCGGCACTTCCGCCATCTGCAATCTGACCCCACTACCAAAGACATTTTCCCCTCCCCACCCATATCTGCTTTCCGGAGGGACCACTCTCCCCATGATTCCCTTGTCCGCTCCACACTCCCCACCAGCCCCACCATCCCCGGCACTTTTCCCTGCAGCCACAGGAAGTGCTACACCTGTCCCTACACCTCCACCCCTCATCCCCCATCCCAGGCCCCAAGAAGACCTACCACATCAAGCAGATGTTCACCTGCACATCTGCTAATGTGGTATACTGTATCCGCTGTTCCCGATGTGGCCTCCTCTACATCGGGGAAACCAAGCGGAGGCTTGGGGACTGCTTTGCAGAACACCTAGGCTCGGTTCAAGACAAACGACTGCACCTTCCAGTCGCGAACCATTTCGACTCCCCCTCTCACTCCTTGGATGACATGTCCATCCTGGGCCTCCTGCAGTGTCACAACGATGCCACCCAAAGGTTGCAGGAACAGCACCTTGTATTTCGCTTGGCAACCCTGCAGTCCAATGGTATCAATGTGGACTTCACAAGGTTCAAAATCTCCCCTCACCCAACAGCATCCGAAAACCAGCCCAGCTCATCCCCGCCCTGCTAACTTGTCCTTCCTCCCACCTATCCACTCCTCCCACCCCAAGCCCAACCCCCATCTCCTACCTACTAGCCTCATCCCGCCTCCCTGACCTGTACATCCTCCCTGGACTGACCTATCCCCTCCCTAACTCCCCACCTACACTCACCTTTACTGGCTCCAACCCCGCCTCCTTGACCTGTCAGTCTCCTCTCCACCTATCTTCTCCTTTATCCATCTTCTATCCGCCTCCCCCTCTCTCTCTATTTATTTCAGAATCCCCTTCCCCTCCCCCATTTCTGAAGAAGAGTCAAGACCCGAAATGTCAGTTTTCCTGCTCCTCTGATGCTGCTTGGCCTGCTGTGTTCATCCAGCTCTACACCTTGTTAGCCATTAGGTCACATCCACCTTAAACTAGGAGTGGGCACTTTCTCTGGTCTTCAAAATTCTTGCTTTACCCAGATTCCATTCTCTGGCCCCTCATCCTTTCTTCATGACATCAGCTCAGTCAACTGTTTTACTCTATTCACTGACTCTAAACTAATATCATCCGAACTTGCAGGACTTCACTTTTCACAGGTCCAACCCAGGCAATGTTAGATGGAACTGCTATTTGGCTACCCAACCTTTACTTTGAACAAATTGAATACCAAACCTCCAATACCACCTCCCACTGTCCACTGGTCCATGATCTCATCACCAGACATCAGGCCATCAATTTCAAGACTATCTCTTTTTGCAATCTCACTTTCACAGCCTCCAACTTCCACTATCCAAAACTGCAAAGTTCAGTCACTTCCTTTGGAAACTCCACAAAATGGTTCTACCATGGTAGACCACCATTTCAGCCTGTTCTGGCCCCACAGACCTAATTTCTTCCTTTCCAAACCATAATTTCTCCCCTATTCAGTGTCGTCCCATCTGCACTGAGTTCTTAGTCAACAATTTTCACCACTTTTACATTTTCACCTTTTCATTTTGTACGCCCTATTCCTTCTAAGCTCCACCTCCCACCAGCCATACTTTCCTTACTCATTTGTTTTATTTAAAATTCATTCGCTACTAGTTACGCCAAACCCTAAAATGGCCTCAAACAAAAGGCGCCGGGCGCCCTTTTTTGAAACCCAAACAGCCAATGGTAGGTAGCTACACCCAGTACCCTTAGAAAGGCATTCTAACTCAGCAAGGTCCCGCGAGTGCGCACTCACTACCACTGCCTGGCCTTTTTCTTCAACTTTTCTGATAACTCCACTTACTTGCACCAAATAAAAAGTGCTTCAATCAGGACCTGAAAAGGGTCCTACTTCTACCTGCCTTTTAATGGGACAGGGGAACATTATTTGTTCTAGTCCTACTCAGGTCTGCTCCCTCACCACTTTTGCCATTACAATGTTAACTTCTGGACGTAATAAACAGAGTGCGCGTAGGCACATCGTTTACAGAGGCAGCAGGTAAAAAAAATTACATTTGAACAAAGAAAAGCATAGAGGCCTGGGTTTAAGTCCCACCTGCTCCAGAGATGTGTAATAACATCTCTGAGCAGAGTGATTAGAAAAGCAGGTTAAAATGATACATTTGCGTGTGCTGTTAGCAATACAGACAATCATTACTCATCTCTAGTCATGGTTAGCTATGCTCTAGGATTTGATGTGTCTTCTTGTGATGCAATGGTAGTGTCCCTGCCCTAGACCACAGAGGCCTGCGTTCAAGTCCCACCTGCTCCAGAGGTGTGTAATAACATCTCTGAACAGGGTGATTAGGAAAAATAGCTCAAATGAAAAGAAAGCATAAATAATTAGGAAAATAAAGTAAAGCATACATATAAATATTTAAATTAGAGTAACAGATCTGAATGATTCAGGAATATTAATCTTTTAAAATAGACTTCAATAAGAAAAGACATTAATATGCAAGTTATATGCCAGATTTCATACCTGAATATCAGACAATGTTGAATTTGTACAAACTATTGATTAGATCATAGCTGGAATGCTACGTGCAGTTCTAGAGTCAGAGTCATGGAGATATACGGCACAGAAAAAAAAAGAGAGACCTTTGGGTTCAAATCGTCCATGCCAACCGGATATCCTAGATAAACCTAATCCCATTTGCCAGCATTTGGCCCATATCCCTATAAACCCTTCCTATTCATATACCCACCCAGATGCCTTTTAAATGTTGTAATTGTACCAGCCTCCACCACTTGCTCTGGCAACTCATTCCATACATGCACCACCCTCTGCGTGAAAACATTGCCCCTTAGGTCTCTTTTAAGTCACGCCCCTCTCGTCTTAAAATCATGCCTTCTAGTTTTGGACTCCCCTACCCTGGGGAAAAAGACCTTGCCTATTTACCCTATCCACACCCCTCATGATTTTGTAAATTCTATAAAGGTCACTTCTCAGCCTCCAACACTCTAGGGAAAACAGCCCCAGCCTATTCAGCCTCTCCTTATAGCTCAAATCCTCCAGCCCTGGCAACATCCTCGTAAATCTTGTCTGAACCTGTTCAAGCTTCACAACATTCTTCCTACAGCAGGGAGACCAGAACTGCACACAGTAATCCAAAAGTGGCCTAACCAATGTCCTGTACAGCCGCAACATGACCTCGCAACTCCTGTACTCAATGCACTGACCAATAAAGGCAAGCATACCAAACACCTTCTTCACTAGATAGACAAACAGGAGGCTGGAAGAACCAAGCAAACTAGGCAGCATCTGGAGGAAAGGAGAAGTCAACTTTCTATTACCCTTCTTCACTTTCAAGAACTATGAACCTTTGCTCCGAGGTCTTTTTGTTCAGCAACACTTCCCAGGACTTTACCATTAAGTGTAAAAGTCCTGCCCCGATTTGCCTTTCCAAAACGCAGCACCTCACTTTATCTAAATTAAACTTCAACTGCCACTCTTAGGGCCATTGGCCCCCCTTATGGGAAGTATATTAGAGGAAAATGTTCAGCCACATTCATTGAAATGATAAAGAATTGAGAGTTTAGGATTATGAAGTACAGCTCAAGAAAATTGAGGCAATTTCAATGATCTGAAGACGACTAAGGAGGAGTGTTGGCTTTCAAATCTGCACGACTTGCTTATTAATATCGAACAGGGTACAAATCAGTGGATTGTTCCCACTGATTACTGAACTGAAAAAAAAGCCCAGATTCCAGATCGGATGAACAAATCAAGTTGGAAGATTTATTTTCCCTACAGAAGGGGTTAGAAAATCCAATAT